TTCGTACTCTTCTTTAAGCAACACGTCCGGGAAGTGAACGCCCGGTAGCCCCAGCGTCGGCATGGATCGGCATACCGGTCGGCCGAGGCTCGGACTCGATAGCTGGGCCAAGTACTGGTGGCTTAAGTCCGAAACTGGACTTAAAAACCCGGCACCACCACTCCATATGCACCACCTCACTCTGGCAAGACTGATGACCATTGAGCCACCCTCTCAACGAGTCTTTTCTTTTCTTTTTTTTGGGGGGGGGTAACTACACGGGAGTCACAGAAACGAGTTATAATTGCAGTATGGGCCAATGTACCGTTTGCAATTGCAGTTCGGGCACCCTACCTGGCCAGAAAGCTGGGTTGTATACGTTGCCCAAACTGCAATTGCACTGTATCTTGGCCCATACTGCAATTATAAGTTATAACTCATTTTTGTGACTCCCGCGTAGTTTCCCCTTTTTTTTTGTTGTTCTTGAGAGAGAGAGAACGGCCCTTTTGTGAGGCCTCTATCCCGGAAGTGGTGAGAGAACCACCAGCATTGAGGACTTGACTGTTAGGCTGCACCATCTATTGGTGGAAATTGGGTCCAGCGTTCCTTGAATACATCACTTAATTACAAAGTTGGGGGCTATGGCCATTTCGTTTCCTGCTCTGGAGTTTTGTCCTTCGCATGGGGCTGCAAATGTTACCCTTCCCTCTTTAGGACTTCATCCATTTTATACACATGGGCCCAGCCCTTCTGCAGCCCCCCTGTAGCTCTAGCAACTCCCTCGCCGGAGAGCCTTTTTACATCAGTATCCTTAAACCCTCCATTAAACCCTCTGCGATTGCTCCTCTAAGGTTGGCCCAGTGAGGGTTCCTACATCCTGTGTGCTGTCTATCCCTGCTGTTTCCTTTGGGAACTGCTTCCCTGAGCTGTCCCTGAGCCTTTGTTCCATCCTTATCCTTAAACCCTCCATTAAACCCTCCGCCATTGCTCCTCTAACGTTGGCCCAGTGACAGTTTTTTTTCTTCTTTTTAGAAAGCCCGTTTCAAGTCCTCTATCCAAATGGTGGCGGGAGAACCGTCGGAATTGAGGACTTGGCTAGGTGGCTGCTCCATCTATTGGTCCCTTAGATACATCAGTACAGCACACAGAAGCATATCTGCAGCCCATCTCTGTCGCTCCCATTGTTGGTCTTTGCTGCTGTGTATCACATCGCTGTCTTTCTGTGTTCCCTTCCCTGTCTACCATCTCCCCCTCGTTGCTTCCTTTCTCTGTTGATAGTGATGCTGCGGTTCTTGTGGCCGCAGAGCGCTGTTCCTCACAGCTGTCACCGAGCCCCCCCCCCCTTGTGCCGTACCGTCCCTTACTCCTGAGAACCCTCACTTAGTGCCTTTTAGTTGGAGCATCTGCGACATCGTCTGTCACTCGGTTTTGGGACCTGTATATTGCCCGGGGTTTATAACGCCCCCTCCCTCTCCTTCCCCTTCCC